ACATTAAGATATATATGTGTGTGTGTGTGAATGAATATATGTGCATGTATGAATGTGTTTATATATATATATAGTACATGTGTGTACGTGTATGTATGTATTTTATCTATCTATAGATAGAAAGTGATTCGGGGGGGCTGGAGAGGGGAGAGAGAGATACATATTTAAAAATTTATAAATCCATATGTGAAAATCTGAACTCTTTTAAGTAGACGATTTGGGAGTAGCATATATAACTTTTTTTTTAAAACTCAAAACATTTTTCCCAACCATACTTTGAGATAACTTTTTCTTCTAGAAAATGTAAAATAATAGTACAGCTCTGCATAGTTTTTTAAGGATGTTTATTTTACAAATGAAGCTGTATCTTTAGTGGGCAACATACAGGAAAATAGGACCTAAAATGAGAATTTTGTTTTGATTTTAACTTCTAGTTCTTGCTATTGAGACAACATTCAGGATAAATGCTATTTGATACTGATGTTTTTCATCATATGAAAAAAAGTACACTGGCTTTCTTATCTATAATAAAAATACATCTCATAATAATTCTCTATTTCTGCTCTGCTTTCTATTGTTTTAATCATGACTGGGTATGTAATAACATTTTTTAAGCTATAAATAACTAGAGAAGTGTTGTTTGTTGCTGTTCTTGTTCTCTCTCTGGTGCCTTTAGTGTTTCTTTCCAAAGAAAAATGTAATTTGTTTGCCTTTCTTGGCAAAAGTGATTGGCCAATTTTTTATCTGAATATTTTTCCTCACTTCTTTGGGGACTTGCTCAGTTTTCTAAAGTTGAAAACAAGGGCTGCCCATAGCTCATGCCCATTCCAAAGTATTTTTTGCTTTTAAATGTTTCCTGGATTAAACCCTGTCCATTTATTCCATTGCCACAATCAAGGTGGCATTCTCAGTACCTCGTTTGGTGCAGCATCCAGATAGTGCACCCTTGGTCTCTCTTCCCTTATGTTGTGAGGCGTATTGTCCTGAACTTAGTCTTATTATGTCTTTGACATGCTTAAGGTCTGGGCTCTTCTCTTACTGTTCTTTATCATTATCTGATCGAACTTATCTGACTAGGTTTTCCAAAGGAAACTCTCAACTCTGGTCAGTTGATTGCTACATGCTTCTCTTTCTCTACAAGCTAGAACGCCTTTCCCTTCTCTTTGCTAATCTGCAGACTTTACATCTCAAATCATGCCATCTATCAGAACTCCACAGTGATTCCTCCCTGAGTTCTAGTAGCAACATTCATTCACTTATTCACCACGTATTGATCAACTGCTATTTCCAACTATTCTGGGCACAGAGTGGTGAGTAAAGATATTAATATTATGATCTTTGCTTCTTAATGGAAACTTATATGCTATAGAAGCATGATGTCTATTTTTCCTATAGATGAATCAACCTTTAAATTGACTGGTGACTTCTTATTGACAAGTATTCTCATGTTATATAGTCTTGCCACAGTTCGTCAGAGAGGGGTAGACGGTAAGCTGCGGCCGTGACTGGAAATCCTTAGGGTCCACCCTGTAAATAGGAGGTCAAGTCACTGCATTTGGATTTTCTGCAGGAATTCTATTTAAAAACTGCCTCTGCAAGACTAAGTCCAGTACTCAACTCAAAAGAATCCATATACAAATACTCTCTTTTACAGACTGGGCCTTGTGTTGAGATTTTTCAGAGAAATGTTAATTTAAATACAGAATTCTACATTCCTTCTAGTAATAGGTACCCTCAGGTGTTGAAGATCTAACACAGAGGGCCTCAATTCTTTAATGGAAAAAAAACCCAAAGAAAGAAGAAAAAGTGATCTCTGTAGTTTCTGTAAGAATTGTGATGTCTTAAAGATTATAGTAACAGTAGAAAAATAAATCACAAAGAGAACCTTCCCCACACACATAAGAAAAAATTATCAAATAATTAGAAAACATTGTCTGAAAACACTGCCTTAAGTATAATTAGAATGATCAAGTCATCTCTGGATTGGAAAAATGATTAACCAGATCTAACTCATATAAGGGACATATTTCTTTATCAAAATTCAGGATAAAAAGTGGCAATATTGCGTAAAATTTGCCAAGTGTGATTTCACTGTCAATCAATATTTTTCTCATCCCCCAAAGCTCTACGTCTGCAGCACTATAAAAGCCTAGAAAGGCTAACAGAGCCACTCAAGATTTGTGTTTTACTTTCAAACTGATGGTTCCCATGAGGTTCCACTTTGAAGAGATAGATCTAGACTTTGCATCTCAGAGTCATTTAGTTTAATTAAGTGACTTTTGCCAAACCTGGGGTCAGTGGATCCTCCAAGAAGATCATGAATGGAAATCAGGGGTTCCATAAATTTTGATAGGATAAAAAAAAAAATCTCTATTTTCACTAAGCTCTAACTGATATATATATTTAAAAAATCAGGGTAGTATTAGCAGTCCCTGGGACTCTTTCATCCATACAAATCACAATTGTTTTCTTATCACATGTATTTTCTTATAGTTGTTACAAATATTTAAAATTATCATTGGTACTCAGTACTGCTTCAAAAGCATTGTAGTTAATAGACCTGTCACTAGATGTTGTTGTTTAACATGTTAATAAAGAAGCATATACAATTATTTCACTCATTTGGTTTTTAAAAATATTTTAATAATATCTTTGGATAAAATTGGCTGCCTTTGTAATTGTATTTTATTTTACATTAAAAACATTATGCTGACAAAGGGGCCATAGATCCAAAAGTATCTGTGACACACAAAAAAGTTAAAAGCTGCTTGTTCAATTCTCATTTTTGGTATTTGTTAATGGATCACATGCACTTAAACTGAAAAATAGACTTGGACCAGACTTGAATATATTTGAATATGCATGATTATGTAAGTAATGGTTTCCTTATTATACCTGAAGAAAGACTGATTGATGGACAGAGCTTAAAAATAGGTTAGGAAGAACAGTCAGCAAATAAATGGGCAACAGATGGAGGAACAGAAACAACAGCAGACTATCAATCTCACTGGGGTTAACAGATTACACATGATTTTACCACCATGACTGAAATAGGGTACAGATGGAATACAAGGCCCCTCAAACTCTTCAAATTAGTTGTATGTACCACTATTGTCAGGTAAGTACCTATTCCATTAAATGGAAAAAAGGTCAAACTTTGTAAGAATAAGTCATATGTATTATTTGAGACAGTAGTAGCAATAATAACAATATATGTATTTTTAAAGGTTTTACCATATCCCTGCTGATTTTAATCATCAAAAATCACCCTCAATATAATACTATTATATATACATTCTTATGTAATTGCCACATCTTTATTAAGACGAAAAAGCAAATACGTTACATTCATGTTACAGATGTTCATGTTACAGAAAACTAAGGTTCAGGAAAGCTGGAGGCCCCACAGTTGGTCAGGGTTGCAAAAAAAGATAATACTATAATCTCCATTTAATAAACGCGGAAACAGTCTCTGAGCAGTTAAGGGGCAGTTGCAGTAAGTGTCAGGGCTGGGATTCAAATCCAATTTGGTCAGATTCCAAAACCCTGTGTATTTTCCATTGTGTCATGGTGCCTGCCTCACTATTCCTTTCTCCAAATTGGAAAGCTAAAAAGTTCTTAGGAATGACAACCCCCCAAGAAAATTGTACTTTACTTAGTTGAATCACAAGGGTATAATTCAGGGAGAGGAAGATAAAACATTGTTAAAACTTTGGCAATGCTCTCAGGGGCCCCAGAAGGGTCATGTCTTTGGGATGTTACTGCTGCTTTCTCCTTCAGAGCCCTGCCCACCAGCCACTGGGGAATCCAGAAGACCTCTCTCTGTTCTACTGAATCTCAGGGAAATAGCCATTACCAGAGGGAAATGTGTGTAAGTCAAATAATCTGCTATGAAATATGAATTATATCATATAATATTTTCAGATTTGGGAAATAAATCTGATTAATGATCAAAGTTTGCATATCTAATTTTCCATTTATGTGAAAGTAAACTTTATTAGTCATTTGTGGGCTTTTGAGGGACAGAGAGGCATTTTCCTCCTACTTTTTGTTCTTTTTGCTTTCTAGTTCACTGTTAAACTGCGGCAGATCACAAGCCAAGAGCATGTTGTTTAATTCTATTACAAGAGCAGAAGTGAGAGTTCTTGCACTTTTAAAAAATACCAGGCTTAGGAGGACTTTGAAAGTTGCCCATAGAGTGTCCTCAAACTGTTAGTCTTGCAGAGAGTTGTCCTAAAGACCCTCCTTTTTCCTGAAAGCTCTCATTTTGGTTATGGTGGTAATGCCATAGTTAATCTGTTGCAACTCCAGTGAGATTTATAGCCTCTGATATGGTTTTATTCCTCTCATATGTTGCCTACACATTTGCAGACTGTTCTTAATCCACTTTTAAGCTCTGTGTATCAGTCAGTCTTTCTTTAGTTATAATAATGAAACTGTTACTTAGAAAATCATGCACATGCAAATCTATTTTTTCAAGCCATTTGCTTACTATGTCCATTTTAAGAGCCTATTATGTTTAACTTTGCCTCCTTTCTGCCCCAAATCCTAACTCTCATGTAACAGTTAAAACACCATTTAAATGTTTACAAAGAGTTTGTCCTCCTAGACATTTGCACTGTTATTTCGGTGCTCCAATATAAAAGCTAAATGCAACAATAACACAAACTGAAACTGCTTTCAAACACAAACTAACTTGCAAACAATATGAATGCACAGACCTCCCCCGCCCCCAAAGCTTTATCCCAATCGGTTTTCTTAAATATCTAGACAAATCTTTATTTTCATTTGAAATGTTATTATGCATTATCTGATATGCTACTGAAATCCCCTTAACAGGAAGAGAATTAACAATGAAGTTCAACTCTTGAATATCTGCAAGGAGAAAAGATTAATTTACAGCTTTACTTCTCTTTGTCATAGTGGCTTAACAAAGATGTGAGGAAACTGCTTAAGTATAATTACTTGCCTTCCTTTCTTCTCTCTTCCTGTCTTCTCAGGTACTTCTATAATTTACAGAATCTTAGTTTGGCTTACTGCAGAAAGTTCACAGACAAAGGTTTACAGTACCTGAATTTGGGGAACGGATGCCACAAGCTCATCTATCTGGACCTTTCCGGCTGCACCCAGGTTTGTCTTTCAGCCTTCTCTTTCCTGCAGCAGGCAAAGAAGTCCTCCAGAGAACGGGCTGCATCCAGCCCCAGCCCTCATGTTATACTAACGCTGTGCACGGACTGCAGCACTTTTCAGAGGTTTTCAATTACATGAACACAGCTGCTTAAATTTTCCCCAGGATCGCTACTATAGGCTCTTGGCTTCCCTCCATTGGAGTGTCACATCCACGAAGAGGCAGAGCTCATTGGATGATGAAGCAGACCACTTCTGTGTAGATACTCTGTGCACAATTAGGATAGCAGAGTCCAAATCTTGAAAACTTTTTAGAATTGCTACCAAGATACAAACAAAGAAAAATATTTGGGGGAGAGGGTGGGGAGAATTTGCAAAGAACTTCCTGAAAAGTTAGTTTGCTTCCACGTGGACTCTGAGAGTAAATAGTATTAGGTAAAATGCTACAAGTGATAAATGTAAGAAAGGAAATACAACAAAGATAATGATTTTTTTAATTGCATTATATCCTTGGTCTAAATAACATGAAGATTTGAGGTCTACATGGGGAAATATTTAAGTCTGAAGGAACGAGACTAAGAAACCTGGGCAGAAAATAGTGTGGAATTGTGGAGGGAATGGCATGGCACTGTGGAAACAGTTCCTGCCTCCTGGATCATTTCTTCTGCTCTGTTCTGTTCATTTTAAGTCACCATTCATTTAACTTTTCTTCCACCTCTCTGTGTATTGCAACTAGTGTCATAATATGTTCATCATTCCATGAAAATAATATAATAACACAAATGAGAACTGTTATTAAACACCAGGCACCATGTTGAGAGTTTCATACATATCACATTTACTGCACATACAAATACTGTGCAGAATAGCTTATTTAGATGAAAAGACCAAGGTTCTCAGGGTTGCACAGCTGGTAAAAGCATACTGGTACTGCTATAAGCAGGTATTCCTGGAAGGAATGCAGGGACAGAATGGATTTCTCTGCCAAGTTCTTGAATGGACAGAAATCTTACTTAGCCACCACCACTGGCACATCATGGTTTCCTGGTACACTAGGCATTGGGGAGGATGTAGGGGAAAGGATGCAGGGGATGCTAAGCTAGAGCTGCAAGGCTAGAGTTTCCATTTGTTTAAATCCAATCTATTGATATATCAATAGTTTGCTAAGCACCGACATCTGCCACTCTATGAACAAGATGGCCTTAATGTTCCCTCCAGATTGACAAAACTTCAGATAGGCTTCTTTCTGACCCTGAATCCCTGACCTCCTTTTTCTTACCTTAGAAAACGTGCAGTTGTACATTCTGTTTTTGCTCCCTTTGAGATGTCGACTTCTTAAAAAGTTTCTTACCTGTTTTACAACCCATGAATGTCTTCCTCAAGGACCTGGGAGCTAGCCTTTGATATGTAACCATCAAGAGAGAGAGTGTCTGTATCTCTCAGTCTCTGTGGAATGATGGGGGCCTAACTTGGATATGAATGTCAGCAAACACAGATGGCCTGATCACAAAGGAAGAAATATTTGCAAATTCAGAAATAACTCAATATGCTTTTGACACATCCCACTGATCAATCTCTCCCTGAAAGATACATCCTTTAGTCCTTCTTTTTAAAATTAAATTTAAGGAACTATAGTTGATTTACAATGTTTAGTTTCTGCTGTATAGCAAAATGAATCAGTTATACATATACATGCATCCACTCTTTTTAGATTCTTTTCCCACATAGGTCATTATAGAGTATTGAGTAGAGTTTCTTGTGCTATACATTAGATTCTTATTAGTTATCTATTTTTTATATAGTGTGTCTAACTCACCTCAGTGCTTTAGAACCCTCCTCACAGTGTGACTTAACTCCTTTTTCTTCTCAGTTTCCACCAAATATTTATTGCAGCAGCAACACAAACACATGCATAGACACACAAACACACATAAACATGTCCTAAGGTTAAATATTTTCAAACACAGCTCAAAGTCAGAGGTTTCAAACTGATGACCTTCTGACCAGATTCTTATACAAAACATATAGATACAGTCTGTCTTTAAATTTTGAGCCAACATTTGGAATTTTGGAGTTTTCAAATAAAAATCTAGACTTCAAGTTTCTCTTAAAAAAAAATACATAAGAACTAGCAAATTTAGGCCTGCATTACCACATGGTAAAAAGGGCTGGAACAGAGTCAGCCTCACCCCTTGAAATGGAGCCCACTCCTCAGTGTACCGCCCTCTTCTCCACTCAGTAATGTCCAAACATGCACTTACTCTGGGGCAGTTACCACTTCACTGCACTGCCTGCCTGTCTTAGTAGGTGTTGGAGTTTGGTCTGAATGTATCAAGAATAGATTTTGTTTCCTAATTGATCCTGAATTTGTAATTCTCAAACTACAGTGATGTTAGTATTTCACATCATGCAAAATAATGTTAGGGTGTTTTTTATTCATCTATACTCCATTTCCCTTTGTTCACTTAATAATTTAACAACAAACAGAGATTTAACCTAGTTGTCAGGCACTGGAAATTTTACCATTTGAAAATTTGTAAGAAATGGGCTCATTATGAACCATAGATATGTTAATAATGGCTGCTGCTATAACTTCAGGACGAATCAGTGTATTTTGGAAGTTACTGCTCCCAAGGGACTTATGAAGTCTTCTGAGGTTTCATCTACTTTCCTGGCTCCATCTATCTACCTATGAGGATAGTTTCAACCTACCTGGTCTAATTGCATTGGTATGACAATACAAAATAGTTTCAAAGAAGGAAAGCTGACTATTCACAGGTTTTATAGGTTCATCCCTTGAAAACTAAAATGCAGTTTCTTTTTATATGTTTGGAATTTTGCACTATGAAGATATGTGTTAATATATTTGACCAAGGAAAAATGTCCTGATAAAACAAAAAGAGTTGAGAATAGAAGCTTATGACTAAATGTTTTTCACTGGTGTATACTGAGAGCCTGCTGCATACCGGGCACTGTGATGAGTAAAATAGCATCTCTGTCTTTGGAAACTCTGGATTAACATAAACAAAATATGTCAAGAGCTAAATGTTAATGTAGTCATGGCTGCACAAAAAAGGAAAGATGTATTTATACAATATTGTGAAAGTATTTGAACCATACTTGTTAGAAAAAATAAATAACTGGATGATGGAGAACTACAAAGAAAAGTGAAAATCAATTACATATGCTTTAGAAATATTTTACATTCTTATGGGATTGGATAAACACTGTAGGGTGCATTAAATTATATGACTGATTTCCTAATGAATACTAGCACTTAGATGTTCACCAGCATGTTACCATCTTTGATGTGGCTGAAGTAATGCCTCTGCCCAGTTTCTTCTCTTTGGAAAAACCTCTGCTCCCTCTTGGCCTGAATTGTGATAGGGCTGCTGCAGTGAGCTCTCTCACTATCCTCTGCAAAGAAAAAAATTAAATTACCTGAAAACTCACCACCCAGAAATAATCAACACTACTAGAATTTTAGGGTCTTTATGCTATGCATGTCTAGTATTCTTTTGAATTGAAATGGATTATATACTACACATATCTTTCAGTATTCCATTTCTTTATTCCATTAAATATTTTCCTGTAACTTTACTTTTAATGGGTATATAGTATTCCATTGTATCAAAACATCAACTTATATTTTAACCATTCATTATTGGGCTACAATTCTTTTTCCTGGTCTACCTTTTTTTGGCTATCATAAATAATCTCTGAGGAAAATTATTGTAGCCATATTTTAGCATATGTGTATGTAATTTGGGGTACAAATTTTTAGAAATGAAATGATCACAGGTTATTTTTAAGGTTGTCCATGCTCTACAAATATTCCCAATTTACATTTATGATGAATGTAAAATAGTTTATCTTCATAAATATATTCTATATAAAAAACTTGTCAATTCAACATTGAATATGCCATTTTATATTTTCAATTTGTATTTCTTTGATTTCCAGGCAAAGTTAAGCCATATACAGGCACTTAGTAAATACTTGTTGAATGATAGCATTTTTATCTCAATAAGCTGCCATTGTTAAAATATTTTTCAAAGTAATTAAAATTTTTTTTTCAAACTGGGGAATATTGGAGATAATGTAGCTTAAGTTCCTGACACAGTTGGTGTTAAAAAAAATAAAGCCTATTAACATATTTCTCTAAAAAATTTTTCTTCAGAACCTGAGTGCAACATTTTCCTTAAAAAAAAACCAACTACATTCATTTAACAAAATGATTCTGGCTGAATCAGTCAAACAAATTTAATTTGTTTGCTTTTATATTTACTATTTACTCAAAGTTATAAAATCTAAGCTTATACCATAAAATGATTTTTTAAAAACGATATTTAAATACAATGTGGTAAGACTCTTTGGAGACAAAATGGTCTTATCATGTAAAGAAGGTACTTTTTCCTGTGCTCCTTTGTAATTTATGATCTGAGAGACATTTGGTGACAGTGAATGGATTCATCTTTTTATACATCTTAAGGAATGATGTGTGACCTAACTCATGGTAGATGTTTATCAGATGCTTGTTGAATATTTTGATTAATGTTTAGTTAAATAAGTGAAACTAATGAACCACTATATGAACTGTTGGCAGTTTTCCTTTGCATCTAATTCTCTGCTTCAAAGAACCACTCCTCTCCCTTCCCTTGTGGTTCTGAGGAGCTGTCAGTCATGACATCGTGAAAGTAACATACCACAGTAATTGGGAAAACGGGTTCTGGGGTACCTGCATTTTAATCCTGAGTTTGCTATTTGATAGGTATGGGGCTGGGGCAGGTCCTAATCTTTCTGTATACCTTACCTTATCTATGAGATGGGGAAATTGCTATTAATGGTAACTATCTGTGTTTTGTATTAATTAAATGATTTGACACATATAAGAGGCTTACTATGATGGCTGCATATAGGAAATGCTTAGCCACTATTAGATATTATTTTTAGATTATTAACAGTGTTTTCCAATGTCCACTATCATTTGGCCCAGGCCTAGA